CAGGGAGGGCTGTGCAACACAGAGAAGGCAAGTAGTGATTCTACAGCCTCTTACTACGGTGATAGACAGTGACTGTAATGGGGTTTGTTGGGGGACTTGGTGAAGGGAGGGAGTCTAGTAAACATAATGTTCCTCATGTACTTGTAGATTGATGTTATCAAAGGAAAAAAAAAGTCAACTACTGACATAGCTGAAACCTAAAAGTATTTCTATAGCTAAAAAAGGCCATCAATGAAGAAACTCCCTGGAGTACCCAGCACCCATCTGGCAGAGAGGAGATCTTACTGTTTCAGATTTACCTCGTCTTCCTCTTCAGGCATCTTGATTGAATTATCTGGGGACTTTACAGGTTTCTGGTTACTGGGTCCATTGGTCTCTTCTTTCCCATGTTCTGCCTCCCATTCTTGTAAAACTTCATCTATGTTGAAGCGGCGTCGATAATTTACAAAAAAGTTTTTCACTTGTACCACTGACTTGTTCCCAATCACATCTGAGATTGCCTGAAAATCTCGGCCATATTTTCTGATGGCTAAGGATATAAGAGATCATTTCTTTTTTCAATACAAGAGGAAAAACTATTCTTAAAAAACATAACTGAAACTTATCCAGATAAGAAAACAGATAGACTTTTAATAGCAGGCACTATCTTACTGTATTGTACCAGTGGAAAAAAGCAGTAGTCACATCTAGATACAGTTGGCAGATGACTGATCAAAGAGATTCAGTGCGACCCTGTCATGCGCTAATCTGTACCTCCCATCACATGTCAAGTGGGGGCTGAAGCCACCTGGTAAGCACCCTGTGGTGGTGGGCAATCTGCAGTCACCAGTCAGGATCCGCAGGACCTCCCAGCTGAGAGCCCTGTCACTCAACCTGCTTCTTGTGTGCTTCCTGACTATTTGGAACCCAAAAGTAGCTGCTAAAATAAAGCCCTCACACCTTTAGAACCCAAGGCTTCCACATTAATTTTTACATCTTGAGACAGAAGAAAGGGAAAAAAGAAGGCCCAAAAGGAGCGCAGTGACGTAGCTGACATCACGAGCACTGGAAGAATGTAGTCTTCCGAGAACTCATTTCCACCACAAACGATGTGCTGGGATCAGGGTGTGATGTAATTTTTTCCTAATAACTACCATTGCTCCTACGCTCTTTATCAGGAGAACTTCCCCATACCTTGTACGGCGAGAAGCTGCTCTTCTGTGGTCCAGCGTGCGTTACATTTCTGAATGACCTGGGTATCCAAGGGAGTCGGATTAGCATGCTACATTAACAGACGAGTGTGTCCTTATGAAGGCTAATGAATCCTTCTTTTCCAGACTTTTAACATCAACTATATTTATAAAATCATGTCTATACCTTTCTCCCTAAGAGACATGTGCTGGAGATGTATTACACAGATATTAAATTCTTAAACACATGAAACCTGGGTGTGACTTCTAAGAGGCTCTTTGCAGAATCCTACCTCTGGAAGTCGGTACGGCTCTATTCCACCATCAAGCTTTTCTTTGAGAGCACTGTTCGTCTGTTTAATATTCTGGATCTAAGAGAGAAAGGAAACAATCTTCATTTTAAAAATGCAAAATTTTTTATAAAGGCATGAAAACAGAATTAAAAAACTCAAAGAAACCAAAAACCAAGAGCAAACAAGTTCCTGCCCATATGCTAGCCAAGCGCCTGAAGCATTCTGTGGGAGAACGCCCTAGGAAGCCTCCTGTCTCCTTCAAGAGCATCTTAACTAGAGTCTTTAGTGCCTTGCCTAGAGCGACACAGAGGGACACCCACGAAGAAGGGGTGGTGGTGCGGCTCCTGTGAACACAGTCCTGTCCCACCATTTCCTAACAGGCGACCAATCACCTGAGCAGCAGAACACACATCTGGTACAAGAGACGGAGGCGCTGCCCAGGCCTCAGCCCCCGTAGGACTGGGCTGCAGGGACAGCGGGCAGCAGCCTCGGAGCCGCAGGCCCTGTGCTGTCCAGGCAGTGCCCTGACTCCACACGGGTCAGAAGCCCACAGCGCAGCTTCCTTTAGTGGAGAGAAAAAAGAGAGCAGGGCATCGGTTTCCCAGAAGCTTAATTTGGTCAAGTGTAACTTCGTCATTTTCTCACAAATTACCATTTCCACACTATCACTTTGATTCAGTGTACCTAATCTTTCACTGCCCTTGCCTAATCAAAAGACACAAACAATACTTAGTCAATCCATGACTGCCCTTCAGTCCTGCACAGACTCCTTAATGACCTGGGTCGCAGAAGTGGCCCTTCTCGCCATTCCAGGTAGAGTGGCCTTTCTGTGCAAGCGCTACGGGAACTCTGACCTAGCATCTCTCACTTCTGAATGATCACATGAGCGAATCAGAGAAAGTAAGGGGAGAAACAGATTAATTTTCCTGAGGAAAACAACAAAGACGCTCACAAGCAGAAGATGCTCTTAAAAGCATAAATCTTATTAAGGCAAATGAAGACAAGCAGGACCTTCAGAACTGGGAGAACTGGGAGACAAGGGGAGATGGTGGCGCAGGGCACTGTCAGATGGACACTTTACAGTAATTCTCTCTCATCTTTTGAATAGAATTTTTAATACATTTTTCTAAAATTCCATTTTTAAATACACAGCTCACAGCTTCACGTATCCTTTCCTCCTATATTTTATTTGTTCTAAAAGGCTTTACAAGGTAGGGGGGATATACAGGAATAATTTCCATGCTGTGGGACCAGTGGCCAAATAATCAGACGAACACTATAAGGACCAGAATTGCCTCTGTTTGCCAATAGTAAGGCCTCAAAGTCTACCAGAAAGACAGCCCACTACAGGTCTTTTTGTATTAATACTAAATCAGAACATAAGGACAACTGAAAAGAGAAATACAAGAAATGTGCAAAATCTACTCTACAGTAAAACCACATTTTGAAAAGGTATAAATCAGGAGAAAATAAACTGGTAATAGAAATTTACTCACAGTAAGCTCTTGGGAAAGCAATGTCAAGCTCTCAGACCAGCAGCATCTAATAGAACATTCTCTGATGATGGAAATATCCTAAATGTGTGATGTTTGATATGGTAGCCACTAGCCACATGTACATGAAGTATGGCTTATGAAAGGATGGAACTGAATTTTTAATTTTCTCAACTTCAATCCACATTTAAGTGTAAATAACCACACACGGCTACTAGCTGCCATACTGGAGCAGCACAATCTTAGACTCTTGCTCTGAACTGTCAGTTACCAATAACCCGTAAAATACTGCAAAATACTTAGATTATGTTCACTGAATTCTCCTTAAGCTAAAAACTAGCCCTAGAACTTATGGCAGAGAATTAGCAAATTCTCAAAAGTCAGGGAGGTGGGGGGTGTCTGGAACCATGTTTCCCCCAGGAGTCCAGTTCACTGTGCCACTCTCTGTGCGGTAGCTGGTTGTTTAGCTATTACACAAAACCAGGAATATACCGCATTGTGATTGATGCGTTTTCCAAGGAGACCAGCCTACCTCAACACAAGCATTTTCTCTGTAAAATCAATGAAGCAGCACAGAGATTAAATGAATGGCTACAAGGCAAACCACCCACAAATTCAGAACGAAAAGTTGGTCCTAAATTCTCATTAATCTACAACTCTATTCCTGATGCATTTTCCAGTGTTTGCTACTAAGACTAGGGATCCACTGGCAGCATCACGCCACTGGAGAGGAGGCCAGGGCGGCAGCAAGCCTGAGGAGAAGGACGCAAGGCCGATGGGAAAGCAGCCCCATGGACGGCCAGGTGCTTAGCTGGGTCTCCTGGGGGACACCCTCTCCACTTCGTGTGGGCTGGGCAGTTCTTCTCCGACCCCAGACCACTTTACGCCCCACTCAGAAAGACCTAAGGCAACAGGTGCTGTTCGCTGGCTCCTCCAGGGGTGGGCGCAGCCCCCTCTCGCTTTACTTCCTGCTGTCCCTGGGGCCCCGGGGAGCCCCAGTGCTGCGGAAAGCCTAGGGGTTTCCGGTGGGGCGGAGACTTTCCCTATCAGAGGGGACAGGCGGTCACCTCCGCCGCCGCCTCCTCCTCACTGCCCTGAAAGGTCAAGTTTACAAAACGGCTTCTGCAGCCTCCAATGTGCGGCAACAAGAGGAAAAAAGCCCTAAAACTAAGAACAGCAGAGTAGAAAATCTGAAGGAATCTGGGACCCCGAGAACGTCGCCGAACGGATGAGCCCACGCCAGCGGCCGCTGACACTGGATGGTCTGCTCTCTGACCAGAGGAACCCTCTATGAATTAAGCCCTGGGCTGTCATGTTTTCTGTTATGCTCGGGTGAACACTTTCCCTGACTGGCTACCACACGGGGCACCTGCGGCCAGCGTACTGCCATCGAGTCTGGTGCCCTGGCAGGAGCCCCACCGGCCGAGAGGAGAGAGCAGCCCGTGTCCTCGCAGGACGCGCCTGCCCGCCTCCCTCCCGACCACGGAGAACTCGCAGTAGCAACGTTCAGGTAAAAAATCCCTGCTCTTGACCCGGGCTCTGAAAACCAAAGACTCCTTTTATTTACCACACCACAGAGTCCGCCTTCGTGGAAAAGGAGTCTCCTTTTCCTTCTTAACGATAATTAACATCAAAGAGCAAGCATGAGGCACTCACGCAGCCAAGGGGGCCACGCGAAGGCTCTGCCCACCCGGAGGCGCTGACTCAGCAGCCTGCAGGCGGGGACGCATCTCCTCATTTGAAAAGGGGCCCAGGAAGATTAAGTGATTTGCCTAATAGTAGAAGGCAGCAGTGTCCACAGGCAAGACCAGAGCAGTCCTGTTTCCTGGGAGCACGCCTGGTCCCTGGTCTGTGCTGCCCCCACCCCGCCCCACAGAAGGCAGGGGATCCACAGAGCCCACCCCTCGTCGAAGAAACGATGGGTGGCCTCCTCTTCAATCTTCCAAGATTAAATCATCTTTCAAGATTAGCAAGTCAAAGCAGCAAAAACCACCAGCCCACAATGTGCCCTGACCTCCAGTGAGCAAATGAGGGTCAGTGACTGCTCGGCCGAGCTCCCAGCCTACGTGTGCTGAGCAGTGGTCACATTACGTCGAGCCACTTCTCATGCTGGAGGCAAACAGCTGTCAAAGGACTCATTCTCAAAGCAACATCCTTCATAAGTGCATCAAAGGAGCACAACCCATCCAAGGGCGTCTCCTACAAAGGATGTACAAGGCCTGCACACAGAAGACGACAAAGCACGGAGGGAACGGAAGCACCTATCCCAGTATGGGGACATGTCACCCTCATGGATAACATGTGGATTCTCTACCTTATATGGTATTGATAGTGGCAGACAGGATCAATGAAAGGATGGTCTCTTCAATAAACAGTACTTGTTTAACTAGATATCCATATGCAAAAAACAAATCATGACCCTACACGTAAGAACATACACAGAACATTTCCAGGTAGGCTGAAGAGCAAAATGTAAGAGGCAAACAATGTCTTTAAGACAGCGTGAGAACATCTTCATGACCTTAGGGAAGGTTCTTAACAGAACTCAAAGAGCACTGACCATAAAAGGATGAGGAATTGGACTACCATAAAATTAAGAATTTCTGTTCATCAAAATATGCCATTAAGAGAGTGAAAAGGCAAGCCTCACAATGGGAAAAAGGGGCAATTCTCCCATAATTTGGCAATGCCTGGAGACATTTCTGTTGTGTGGGGGTGGGGCAGGCATCTCGTGGGGAAAGGCCAGAGGCCACTAGATATCTTACAAAGCACACAACTTCCCCAAATGTCTATTGTGCTACAGTCAGAAGACCCCAATGCAGTGGGAGCAACATGCACATAAACTGACACACCCACTTTGAAGAACCCCCGGGCATGGTCTCCCACAGCAGTCCCGCTCGGGAGCGCAGCTGAATGAGGCGAGCGCGGCGCACCAGGAGTCTCACCAAGAACGCTCACACCAATGATTTGCAGTGGCCAAAAATGGGAAAAAACAATCCAAACATCTACTAACAGTAAAACAGATAAGCTGTAAAGTATTTATACAGTGAGAAAGCACTAGAGCTCTACACTGCATGGATAGACCTCGCATGTTGAATCAAAGCCAGACATAACAGAAACCGCATCATATGATTTTATGTAATATCCAAAAATGGAGGAAAAATAACATGTGGAAAATAAAACTCTTTTAGAAGTCAGAATAGTGGCCACCTCCAGGGAAAAGCCGGGCAGTGGCTGAGGGGCACAAGGGAAGCCTCTGAGGCAGCGGGGCTCCTGAGGGGGGCAGGGCCGGAGGCGGGCTACCCTTCCTGCGCAGACAGGGGCCCCCGGGCCGTGTCCTCACTGGGAAGACCACTGAGAGGTACACACACATTTATTTATATACATAAACTTCAATTTCCAAGTTGATTTAAGGAAAATCACTAGGCCAGTTCAGTTCCTTAGGAACAAAATGCCCTTTTGAGAATTGTGGAAGAAAACTTCCAGGTGGGTGACAACACGACAGCTCTCGAGTGCAGGCCCCTCTGCCGCCCAGACAGCCGATAGGTACCTGTCGTTTGATCGAGACCAGCTCCATGTCTAGTTGTCTCAGCACCGTGGTGGCAGCAGTGGCATTGGCAGAAACAGCCTCCACATCTTCTTGAGAAAGAAACATTCCTTTTGGGGGTTTCCTTTTGGCTCTATTCTTAGCTTGTGCACTATGTTTCTCTTTTTTGATCTGAGGAACTGTCTCGGTAGGGGGCACCTGCATGACACACATATTTGATAAGTGAGACTCTAAAAAACATTACAATGCCCACTGAACAGTAATAAGCTATTTCTTTAGCATGGCTCCAAACGATCTAAGATAAACAGCAGGCCAAATCATAATCACCGTCTACAAATCCTAATGGGGGTTAACAGACAGAAACACTGGCTACTGAACTCTGGCTTCCGAGCGAACTCCACTTCCTCCTTGCACAGACACACCCTTGTCCTGTCACTTCAGGACTGACAACTAGCGTTCTCGGCTGCCCGCAGCAGTGCAGGAGAGAAACACCTGTACTCTCCTCCGGGGCGGCTGTGTCTATGAGTAAGGATTTCATCCTAATGGTCCCTAGCAATTTAGATGGACATGTGACCACAGAGAGAAAAAAGAAAAAAATGACTCAGTACATGTATGAAGATCATTTAAAATTATTTATAACTTAAATTATAATTATTTATAATTTAAATAAATATAAGATATATAAGATGTAATATATAAAGGCAAATATACAAAACATAAACATAAAATATATATAAATATTTAAAGAAGTTTACAAAGATCAAAAAAACTTCACTATGAAACTAACTTTTTTTACACACCTTTTTTTTGGGGATGATGCTTAACTTTCAGGGCAATTGTGTAACTTGCTTCAAAAATATATGCTGTCATTTTCAAATGCACGACTGCTGCTAATTTTTAAGTGCGTTCTCTAAAACCAAAACCTTCGGAAATGAAATGCAGTAAAATCTTGACAAGGAAAGGAAGATGTCTTACTAGTAACCATTTTAAGAACAAGAAATTTTTGTAATTGTTCATTATCTCATCTTGTTAGTGTATTAACACTTGCTGATAAAGCTAAAATATGTTCAGGACTTCTGCTTCGTATTTCAAAATACTGAGATAAAAAGCCCATGCAAACTATGAAGGGACCGATAAGTTCTTGAGCAAGTGGTAATAAACACACAAAAATATTAGTGTAGTAGACAATAAACTATGTTCTGTAACAGCACTATGCTGTTTAGTAAGGTCACCCATTAACCATTTGTCTACTTTAACAACATTTTAGTATGCAAAGAAACTAAAATTTAACCACTTATTTTTTTGAATTCAGAAACTGAGCTATAAATAAGAATTACAGAAATCAACATAAAATGGAGCCTTTCTCTTTCAATTAAAACTTTCCACTGAAGAACCTAATAAACAAAAATGCATCAAAACAAAGCTTAATAAAAACTGCAAGCACAGCCTGACCCCCCAAACACTAATCTGGCTGACCCTTAAAGTAACCTTGCTATGCGGGCATTCATATAAACCAGTGGCACAAGTGCCATCTGGAACCAACCAGCAGTGCCAGCTCAGTGAGGTACACCATGCCAAGGGAGCCTGAGGTGCACCCAGGGCACTACGACTCAGCGGTTCAACTTCCAAAAATTAATTCAAATGGAAAAAGTTAAGGACACAAATATTTAGTTATGAGAGCAGCATTGTTTATAATAGCAAAAAGCAGAGGGGGAAAAAAAATGTAAGATTAACTCAATTACAAAAGGATGGAATAATACATAGCTGTACATACATATTTGACATAAAAATATGTTCACAGAAGAGTTAATATAAAGTTATTTAAAAATTGTACATTAAGATCCTACTTTGTAATTTTTAAGTGAATATAGATTCAGAATTATGTATATAGGCATAAATTGCAAGAGTCACCAAGATGTTAACAATGATTATTGATGACACTATTGTAAATCATTTTCATTTTCTCCAGTTTATTTAGCTTTCCTCCTTTATCTATAAAAAGCATGTATTATTGATATAATTTTAAAATTTAGGTATATCTAGCCCCTTTTGTTTTCCACACCTAGAAGACCTGTTCTCATACTTTAGAACCTTTTAAGATAGAGAACCCTTTGAGATTTTCCTGAAACTGTAGAAAGTGTCTCTAGAAAAACACATGAACACATGTAAAAGTCACATCCACACTGGGATTCAATACCCAGCGGGGGCTGGGAACTGAGGGCGCCTGGGAGCTGTGCGGCCCCTTCCTCCCGGTGCTGTGGCAGGTCCCATCTGGACCTGGACGGGCCAGGGTTCCCAGCCTGTGCCACAAGAGCCTTGGGGATCACACCTAGACTTGATCCGGTTTTTATGAATGGGCAATCCAAGACTACAACTCCCATTTCAAAAGGCTGATGAGATTGTGCAGACATCCCATTGTTCTGAGTGGACAGTTTACAACAAAAGTTATAAATATACAAAAAAAAAAAGTCATACACAATTTTAGGGATTCGTGGGCTCCTTAAATCTAGAGACTAAAAACCTCTAGCATGATTTTTAGGATATGAGAGATTACAAATTCCCAGTGTGTGTGACTCGCCCTTGTGTACCCTACACTGTTGGCCCTGAGTGACGGGAGGGTCTGTGCCGGGTAGGTCAGCTCTCTGTGGCCCCTAGTGACCCGGAGTGTGCAGAGCTGCGGGGCCGACCAGAGTGAGCAATGAGCCCAGGGAGGCCGAGAGGACAGCCAGGCTCCGGCCTGGCCCTCGCCAGCACCGCGTTCTAACCTACTGAACAGAGGGTTCAGGAATAAGGCGGTGAGGCCTGCTCACCCCGACGAAGCCCTGACCCCTTAATGATACTTGTCCCTTTAAGGCTTCCTTTACTCACATTTCTTGGCAAACAAAGTTCTAAGTTCTATAGAGCAAAGTTAGGACTCCTTAAAGTCTTCTCATGATGCCTTGTACATACAATTTAATATATTAAAATAGAATAAGGAATGTTTTACTTATGGACCTAGTAACAAAATGTATTTGCCTAAAGAGTACTAGGGAAAAAAATACCTCCTTCTTGCTTTCCTTGTTTTGATCAATCTCAATGTCAATGGGGTTATTTCCATTTGTTTCTTCCAGTTCATCCTCACTGGAAGACAAGAACAAGTTACTCAAAGATTGTTTTGTAATAATTCTACTTAATATACAAACATGAGCAATAAATTGATTTAATGACAGGTTGGTATATGTTTTCAGACTGGTGAGATAAAACCATTTTAGAATTCAAATAAAAGAATACCAATTCCACAGTTCTTTAAGTCTAAATGAAAAAAGTAAACTATTAAAATAAGTTTGGAACTCCCAAACCAGCCTTGAAGACTGTTGCTTTATATTTATAAAGTGTTTTCTCTCAACTCTCCACTGAAATACAAACGTAAGACCTTCCCTTTACTCCCCACAGGCGTCTAGTGGAGGACCGGGCATGACCACCGGACACACTGAGCAGCTGCCCGAGCAGGTCTCCCTGCAAGGGGAATCTACTGACGACACACAAGTCTGGGAATGGGAGAGGTTTCCAGTAGCCTGGATAATTGGTATTGTAAAATTAAATTTGTTTTAAAAAGAACACTCATGTTGATATGGCACTTCAAGCACTTTGGTTTCTATCCTTCCTTGAAGTGTTTCTTATTTAAAAAAAGAAAAGAACAGAACTCTGTAGTAGTTAGGACCTTCATCACTAAGAGAGAGGAAACAGGCTTGGAGAGGCCGACAGGCCTGCCCAGTCCACCCCAGGGCACCCGGTTACAGCCGACTGAACCGAGCGGCAGCAGGACACGCAGGCCTTGGATGGCGGCGCCCACCGCGTTTCAGGGATCCTCCCCAGGCCACCAGGCCCGCTGTGCCACACCTGCCCCCTTTCCAGGGGCCCAGGTAGTGAGAGGCCCTGGCCGAGGAGAGAGTGCCCAAGAGGAGAGGGGGCCAGGGTGGGCCTGTCGGAGCCCATGCCGTGACCTCCACAGGCGAGTCCCGTTAGGCGGGCAGCCCTGCCTCCGCGCTGTGCCTGGCCGGCGACCCCACGCCTGTGCACTTGACGGTAGTGCGGGATACCCGGGAGAGGCAGAGAGTGGTTCTCAGCACCCTCGGCAGTGACACACAGAGAGGCCCCTGGACAGTGAGAAGGGGGGGCATCAGCTGGGGCTCGTGTTGTTTCATATTCCAGGACACGAATCCCAATCTATTTTTTTTTTATTCTGGCTTGAGCTTAGCTGACTGCACCTGCTTACAGTACTAGGCTTAATTTATAAACTACACGAGACCTGACATAAAATGGAAATAAACAATTTTAATCAAAAGTTGCAACACTAATCACAAATTCAGTAGTGTTTGCTGCTTTTCCCTGGTCCCTGGGTACAGATCCATAAATAGACCCACTGAGCTTGCAGGCTACAGACCAAAAACCACGCAGATGTGGCAAAGCCATCAACCCCACATTCCAGCATTTGGGAAGAGCTCCGGAGATGTTTTCAGCACACTCGCACTTCACAGTCAGGCCCAGAGATCTGAATTCTCCAAAAGTAACCCTCAACTCTCATCTGCTCCCACATGCTAATCTCTTTCATTTGAAATCATAAGATACTCTCCTGAGATGGGCCATGGAGAGAATATCATTTATCCTTTCATTTTATCTTCTATTGTTAACTTATAAAAATAACATTATAGGAAGTATGGAAAATACAATTTTAGAAAGCCACCTATATTCCTACCAACCTAACACAAAAGCCGTTACACCTCTATGTGCCGCCCTCCGGACGTGCAGCGTCTTCATTCCAAGCTGAGGAAACAGCGGCCTGGGGCAGGAGCATGGGGACCCCGCCTGCCTGTGAGCACACGGAGGAGCCCCCGGAGCCCAGACGAGGGCCTTCTGCGGCCGAGCATGGGCCCACGTCTGCCCTCAGGGAAGACTGAGGGGGTAGTGGCTTGGGTACATCCTGCTCACAAAGCGATCGTCAAACTAACATCCTTATTAAGAAATCACCTCCTTCTCTCACACACACACACACACACAGAACAGATGGTCAAAAGGGAGGAATGAAACCTAAACTGTTCGGCCATCTTTTAATATACCAAATACAACAACATGTCAAACAAATCTCGTATAAGCATACGAAATAAATGCCAACCTTGGATATATTCCTTTTTACTGAAAAGGAAATATCCTTAAAGGGCAAAGAATATGTGGAAAGTTCGCTCACTCAAAATGGACGTCCACTGAGTGCAGGAAGAGCGTGGGGAGAAGAAACACCCAAAGGGAACAACACCTGTTCACACAGCTCACGAACATTCAGCCACGAGTATCCGTGCGAGTCCTGGTCCCACCAGGAAGGGGCTGGGACACCCGGCCTCTCTACCTTTCCTCCTCGTGCCCACCAGCTCTCAGAAGTTCTATGGACCCAAAAGGGGGCCCAGGGGGGTCCTGACCTTTCCTCCCGCTCCCGCTTCTGCTTCCGAGCATGGCGATCCATCACACTGGTCTTGGTCCTCGTCTTCTTCCAAGAGTAGTAAAATTTCACCAGACTTGCTATAGATTTATCAGGAAGCTAAGTAAATAGAAAATGAGTTGGTTTAGATTTAAAGCTAATCTTTAAAAATCACATGTGCTTATTAGACACACTTAACAAGGATCACTCTCACATACTCAGAAATGCCTGTCACAGCCCTTTTTCTATGTTAAGGAAAAAATTCATAAAAGAACTCTTATCAACACATTTCCAAATTACTGAAGTTTGACTGTAAGTGAAACTTAGCCCATGAAAGACTGTGAAGTCAGTTTAGGATGAATCAGTTTTCACACACCTGAAGTTTCTAACCTAACTCTTGGGTTATTTCTGAAAATTCATTTTAGCACTAATCTAACTGTCAATGAGCTTTCATGGTAGCAGTCCACCAAACAATACAAAAGATAGGCAGACTTCTCCTAGGCAGACAGGTGCCAGGATGCTCCACTTCATCAGATAACCATCTGAGATCCCTTCTGTGGGACTAATCTCGGGCATCCCAACTAGAGGGACTGGGGTGGCAGGTGAGAAAGGGGGCTGAACTACAGCTATCGGGCTGGGAAGCGCTGGGAAGGCTCCACTCCTGCGGCCTCTCATCCACCGGGCAGCATGCGGTGAGCTGCTTTTCCTGCAGGAGTTGTAGGGAGCAGGAGGATATGCCCTGCAGGCGATATTTCTATGTCTCCCACACACCTGGGGGGACAGACAGATGACAAAGCAGCAATGGTCTCATCCACTTACCATTTGTTGGATTCTATGAAAAGTCTTCCCGTGAAAACTAAAAGCTTGTTCAAATAAAACCTTATCTTCCACAGTCCACTCATCTGGGAAGGGGGTAAAGTTGGGCAAATCAGCCAGTGATTTTTCGATGTTGTGCTTGTGCCAAAAAAGCATCCCGAGAGCCTAGAAAAACATGATCAGTAAAATTCTAGACCAAAGGCCTGGATGAAACATTGCGATGGAAATGAGGTTGGCGAAAGTAGGGCATGTACTTCTTTGTACCCAGACAGACGAGCAAACAACCAACTATACAGACGGCTGGGTGGCAGACACTGATACATACCCCTCTGTGCACTAACCCTTATCTCACAAACCCTAAGATAAAGTCCGTTATCCTCGCTTCTCAGAACGTGGAGGGCCTGAGATATAAAGTGACTGTCAGGCATACCGTGCTGGTAGGAGGAGGGGCGGGGTGACTCCAGGGCCTGCGCCCGGGGATATGAGAGCGGAGCAACTCACAAAGGCACTCAACTGTTTGGTTCATGCTTTCCAAAAAACTCAAATATAAACACTCCATTCCAGCTCAGAAAGGAAAAAAAAAACAAACAAACCAAATGGGTGTAGAATAAATCAAATGAGAAATGAGATAACTCAGGAATACTCTCCTGAGAAAACTTCCTTTACTAAAATTCTAAAGAGAAAATGATCATACTTTTAAAGACCAGAATCTTTAAAATTTCATACAAGTCTATTTAGTAATTACCTAATAATATGTTGTTTACATTTTTCTAAATAGATGTAAAAGTTGACCATTTTCTGAGCAACTTTGTTAAGTTCATGAGTAGGATTTGAAAAAAAAAGCCGCACACACTTCTTGCTTCGCACAGTTCTTGAGCTGTCTCTCCGCGGCCGGCCTGTCCACCAGCGCTCTCCGCTAGAGGAGAGCAAGTAAAGCTAGGCCAAGGCCACCTAAGCCGAATGAGGAGGGCCCTCAGTCTTGGGATAAATGAGAAATACCAGTAACTGTCAGGCTGTAGAATCTAGCATGCTAAGGAGGGCACTGTGCCAACTGCTGTGCTCGTTGCTGAGACGGTAACTAGAAATCAAGAGAGGGCAGAGCTAAGGTGTCATCACACATGTGGAGACAAATTAATCTTGTGAATTTCTCATTGAGGCTCCAAACAGTTTTTGAAAGAAAACCTTAGTCAAATTTTACAACCTGATAGTGATTCAAAACAGTATTAAAACACTGTAGGCTGAATGTGACAACACGAGTCGGGACAGAACCATCACACAAACACAAGAAAAGCAAACAAATCATACACTGAAATAAGAAGGCATTACACCCAGTGTCCCCCGCCTTAGAACTGCTGCTGCCTTAAATGCTGCAGACCTACAAAAATATACAGATGCTTTTCAAGTCAAAGGGCCCTATAAGCTTCATCTCAACAAGTAAACAGGGAACCAGAGTTTTCTGTAGCACTGCTGGTAACTACCAAAACATTGCTAATGAGGAAACACTGCTACTCAGCACAGAGAACAAGAACAATTTAATGGGTTGGCTAAAAAACCCATTTGGAACAACAAGAAAACCATGTCATTACCTGTTCCATGTTGTAACCATGCTTCTCCTTAGCGATGGCAATGTACTCATCCACTAAAAAACAAGACAAGAGGCCAGTAAACAAGCTGAGGGGGAGAGAGCAGCCTACGGGCATTACAATTACGGACGTGTCTGCATTTCAAGTAGGCCATGCTCAGGAATAAAAATAAAGGCCAGTAATAAAACAGAATCATATGATATGATCCCATTAAGGATCTCACATATATACATTCCACAGAGAAATGGCTGAAAATATACTCAAACATTAACAGTACTTATGTCTGGATGGTGAGATCATGATTTTTTTTTAGGTTGGTCCTACATAAAATTTTCTATGATTAAACAAGTATCTTGGTACTCTGAAAAATTACTATTTAGAAGTTACATACAAATCATAAAGAAATATTAAATTGTTTTTGTCTTTAGTCTCAGTTGAGGCTAAAGAACAAGAAACCAGTTTAATGTTGAAAAAAAAAATCTAAGAGACAACTAACATGAACCAACACCCGTCATTTGCTTTCAAACTGCACCACAAGGTGGCAGGCGCAGCTTCCCAGCACTAAGGCGACACCAAGGGAAACGGCCGCCCCCAAAGATGAATGCACTTTTTCTTGGCATTTTCTAGTGTTTCTTCCAGAAAAATGAGACTACTAATCACGGCACTTACTTGTAGCCAAGTGTGACTTTTCTTTATAAATCATACCACAAGCTCAAGCAACAACAGACCGAACTGCACAGAACTTAGTGAAACCAACAGTAAAATTCCCACATGCGTTTCCACTTCCCCAAATTCCACTGTCCAGGCGCAACATGCAAACAGCGTTGGGGAAACGGGTTGAGTGGTTCCCTTGCCCACTGTTACACAGGCATAAACAGAGGACACCTAATAAATACCAGGCCTTCTGGTTAAGCAACCTATTCTATCACACAACTAGCTCACCTTTCCTAAAACAATACCACAACTAACACAACCTGATCAGGAAAAAGAAATTAATTTTGAAAATTCAAACCCTTTTATCAGCATGTATTCTCAATACTAAGGGAAAAAAATTTCCAGTGACAAAATAAGAAGTCAATTTAATTAAAAAAATAATTATATATAGCACAACTCTTAATTTCAATAGTAAAAAACTACTTTTCTATTTTTTAACATTTAAAGTACTCACAAAACTAAATGGTTCATTCACCCAGAATATCGTAAAATTCCAATTTACCTGAGAGTCAGTGAATGACAAGATAAATGACCTTAGTTTGTCACAAAAGTTGAAACTGGCGATTTTAAAACTGCGAGAAAAAATAATAAAAAAAACACATAAATAAATAAATAAAACTGCTAGAAAATTATTCCAAACACACCCCTTGCTTATTACTACACAACAGGGTAATTAAGCCAAGTAAGAGAAAAATACTCTAAGGTTCTAAAATAATGCTAACATGAGGCGAGGCCGCAGGAGAAGGCTGTTCTGCCCCGTGGGCCACATGCTGCCCAAGGGGAGGCCAGGCCGGCGTGGGGTTCACCCCGCGGCCACCTCGATGGATTCGGGGATGGAACGACATCAGCGGAACAGCCAGGGAGCGGGCTGAGTCCTGGTCCATCCGCAGTGAGCTGGGGTCAACCCGGGGGTCGGCTTTCACCGTCCCCTCCTTTAATGAATACCCCAGCCTTCTGCCGCACACCCTCACCGCGGTGAGCACGGATTTCCAGACACCACGCTCTGCCCGGCTGGGAGAGGAACGTGCGCTGGTGCGCACAGGCCCCGGGCAGCCAAAGGCGCTGGGGGCGAGGGAGTGGGCGGCCGCAGGCGCGGGTCCTGCCCACGGCCCTCCGGGCACACGCTGTCTGCTTGGCAGCAACGGGGCCCGCGGACCCGGTCCCCACCGTCTCCAGCCAGACTAAGCTGGAGAAACCCACGGGAAACACAGGCGCTCTCTGCACGCTACTCGATCTTCATCCGCTCTTCCTTACCAGGAAACTCGGCTGGTGGCAGCAACAGTGAAAACAGGCGAAAGCTGAGGATTCTGACCAGTGCAGCAAGGCTGGATGTAGTCTCTGCCATGTTGTAAACAGCAATGTATTCTTACTAAGGTGGCCTTAAAGCATGTATCTTTTAGGTTTTCATGAAGACCACCCTGAGGACTCAAATCTAAGGCAAAGAAGAAAGAACTCCAGCAAAGCCACTTAAGAGAAAGCACCTGGCGTGTCTACCGGGTGCCTCAAAGGTGTGATGAAATGAATAGGCAGGGAGCCTGTACCTGTGAAAGAATTAACATCTGACACCACTAGCAGAAACAGCTCCTCACTCCTTCCACTGTCCCCAGTATTCAACAAAGACGAGACGCGCTGAATGAGTAGGGGCTG